TCTTATTACACAAAATTACAAATTACAACCTCATTACATCACTCATAATAAAATAAAATAAAGACTAATATAATTTTTAGAAAATACACTTTAACAATCTTAACACTCCCTCTTAAAGTGTTTTTCTAGAGAGGAGACTATGACTAACTCTTAAGTATGATGCCGATGATCTCCATCACTTCCCAAAATCGAAAATCCAGCCATTTGACAAGCCATCAAGGACATTCTCAAATTCCACCAAGGACGGCTGCATAGCCCACCCTTGAATAGAGGTAATATTGGGAATATACTTCCTCTTTAACTCACGAATAATGCACCGCTGCATTCGTGCTGCCGAAATAGGTTCTTTCGAAACAACATGAGATCTCCAAACAAATATTCTTGATCTTTGAGGAGAATTTGGAAATAGAAATATTGCCTTGAGTTGAGTTCCCAACTCAACACTAAAACCCTTCGACCTTCCACCCGGATCCATCTTTAAAAAGACGACCGATCTTCTTCACCAATGGAGTCAAGACACATCACAACCACCCTCTCCCCTTTTCTCTTTGCTATCATAGCCAAGGTCTTCAACAGGTCCATTGTTACAATGTACCAACAGGGGGTTCTCAAGGGTTTCAAGATTGGCAATTCATGCCTGACCATTTCGCACCTCCAATATGTCGATGATACCCTTCTTTCTTGTGGTGCATCGACGCAAACTCCCTTCTACTCTTTCTAAAATGTTTCCAACTAGCCACCAAATTCAAGGTTAACATGGCCTTAGATCCCCTCATCCCCCAAAGCTTTGCAGACAGGTGGGGCTGCCAAATAGACCTTTTGCCTTGCATATATCTCGGCCTACCACTTTGTCCCAGCAAACCTAAACTCAGGCAATGGAGCCATATCATCAAGAAGTTCGACTGCAAATTTGTGACTTAGAAGGGGCGGTTTCTCTCTTCAGCGGGTAGGATTGCCTTGATCAAGGCCACCCTTTCTAATGTCCCCATCTTTTATATGTCTCTCTTTCAAATGCCCACCTCGGTGGCCCATCGGCTTGAATAGCTGATGCACAACTTTCTATGGCAGCAGGTATTTCGCCACAAATACCAGCTGGACAACTCCACTTGGGTACCTTTGGGCAGGCCCCAGAAGTGCTCCTCCATAGTATCGACCCCTTCAAATCCAATATCAATTATCACCCCAGAGGCGGTAATAGAATTCTCTTTTGGTCCGATTTGTGGATAGGCCATACCACTCTTAAGGACTGCTTCACCAATCTCTGTTGCCTAGCCGGGCACCCAAATTCCACAATTTCCAACCAATTCAAAACTATTGGCCTCTAACTTCCACAGACCTCTCAAGGACAAGAGGTCCAACCTTTCCTCAAACTATCATCTATTCTCCACTCCCTCTTCCTCCCCTCTCAGGGGGAAGATAAAATCATCTAGCCCACCATCCAGTCAGGAGTCTTCTCGGCGGCCTCTTCTGCCGCCAACTTGACTCTCAACGACCCAACTCCACCCCACCACAGCCCATCGTGGCAAAGGCCTGGTTCACTTTCATCCTTCCAAGAATCCAAGTCTTCAACTATTGGAAAGAACTCTTACGGTCGACCAACTTCAAAGAAGAGATATAAACCACTGTGCCATGGAGATGGCCGAGCATGAAACCAATTCGCACCTCTTCATCCATTGCAACATCGCTCGTTAGCTCTAGGACGACCTGCTTCATCAATTCAACTGGTTTTGGGTAACCTCCAAATTAGTTCCACATCTCTTTCAACATATGCAATTCCTTCCCTGACCCAAATCTAGCTCTGTGTTATGGATGGCCTCAGTCGTTGTCATGTTGTGGACCATTTGGAAAGAGTGAAAGCAAAGAATCTTCCAAGGACAAGCATCTCAACCATGGGCTCTACAAGACAACATCAAGTCCTCTGTGATCTTCTAGGCCACCAATTTAGTAGATTCAAGCAATTCTCAGCCTCAGACATTTCTTCAAATTGGCAGAACATCCTTCGATATAGGCCATGCCACATAATTCGTGGATCTCAATGGCATCCACTGAAGCCCGGTCAAACCAAATTCAACTTCGATGGTTGTTCCCTTAGCAACCCTGGGCCGGCAGGCACTGGGGGCATTTTCAGAAACCACCCTCTTCTCTTTCGCTCTGGCCATCAGCCGAGCTGACTACACTAACGAGGAAGCTCTAACCCTTCTGAAAGGCCTTAAAAACTTTAACCCTTCCTGGACCACACCCCTAGACATGGAAGGAGATTCCTCCAATATCATCTCTTGGGCTTCGAGAGGGTCCGCCCCTCCATGGCACCTCATTTCCGTGTTTGACAAAATCTTCAACATTTGCAGGCATATAGAGATTTGTTGGGTGCATATCTTGCACAAGGCCAACCACAGTGTCAACGCACATGCTAAAGAAGGCACCAGCCAAGTGGAAGACTGAGGATTTTGTCTGCAAACAGCCCTTATCTCCTGTTTTTTGTACTCCATGCTTTCTATAGCACTTTTTTACTAAGATCGATGGTTTTGTATAGTGAACGCATGTTGTGGGTAGCCCATTTTTTTGTATCTTGTACTAAATCCTCTTCTCAATACACAATCAGCATATTCCAAAAAAAAAAAAAACCATAGAAATTGATGGTTGAGCGAAGTGGAAGGAGGTCGCCTAGGCCCCAGCCTTGAACCCATCTAGGATGGGCACCTAGGGTGCTTTGCTAGCCTGTATGGGCAGCTAGGCAAGCGAAGTTTTGAAAATGTCAAGGATCTTGATCCATTGAGATACTTCCTTGGAATAAAGGTGGCAAGGACTAAATGAGGAATTTCTTGTTGATCTCCTCAATGACATAGGCATGCTCAGAGCCAAACTAGCAAAATCTCCCATAGGGGTTAATCACAAATTGTATGATCAGCAGTCAAAGCCTCTGAATAACCCTGATGTATATAACAGGTTAATGCGTACACCTATTTATTTTAACTGTCATGGCCAAACGTCGCATATTCTATAAGCATCGCGGCTCAATTTATGTATGTGCCACGCTCCCATCACTAGGAGGCTCTTTATGACATCTTAAGATATTTAATAACAGCTCGAAGGGGAGGACTACTTCATATCAGTCATGATGACCGTGATATGCAAGGTTTCTATGATGCAAATTGAGCCTGGTGTTCTCCTAATCAATGATCTACCAGTGGCTACTCTATGATAACGGGTTGCAATTTATTCACTGGGAAGAGCAAGAAGCAGAGTGTTGTAGCTTTATCTTCAGCACAAGCCATATATCAAGCAATGGCAAGCATCACATGTCAAATAATTTGAATTTGTTGCCTTCCTCAAGAGATGGATGTTATCTATTTAGAAGGAAATACCGTTGCTTTGATTGAAAATTAATCATATTTTGTTCCACCTGCCAAACTATCTGTTCTTTTTCATGAAAGGAAACACTAACATGAGGTTATTTAGTAGCTAATCCAAAATTCATTTATCCAGAAGAAGATATATAAACCAATTTTTGTTCTTCAAACAATGGTTAATTTTTGTTCTTCAGACACAAAGGAGAATACCAAGATAGGCCCTGGGGAACACTTTAGGAAGGATATCCATCTAGAAAGGCATTGCCTGAAGTACCCTGGTGCATCGCTGCCCTAGAAGAATGTCAATGCCTCTTTGGTGATCAGCTAAGCATGATTCTTACATTTTGAGAAGCGTTTTCAGACACAAAACATTTCTCTTCTACCATTTGATAAAAATGTAAGATTATAGCCATACAAGAAGTCAGAAACATAAGAGCATCGCATGAGCACAAGTTGCTGATCTCAAGAAGCAGCCTATGTTGTCCGTTTTTCCCCTAAAGCAGGGTATTGATCCATGGTTCCTACAATATTATTTGACTTTCATTTGGTATTACAAATACTAGCCGTTTATACTTCACTGTGATAATCTCAGTGTAATTCATATAGCTCACTGGTGTCGAGCTGATATTTCTTTCATATACCAAGCACATTGAAGTTGATTATCAGTCCAAGGAAAGGTGCTTCAAACAGAGTTCAGACAGACCTTTGATGTATCAGGGATTAATGAATACTTACCAAAACAGTAACAAAAGATCAGTTCATATGGTTCAAGAGAAATCTGGAAGTTTTCTTTTTCCTTTTTGGTATTTATCGACGCTCATTGTCCAGTTTGCGGGGGAGTACTAAGAAGATAGAGAGACCATTCCATATGTAATTAATTTATTCATTTTCAAATATTCTCTTATCATTTATGATAATAAGGCAGCTTATAACATTTTCCTGGTTTTCATTGGCCACATTTCAGTTTTATTTGGAGATGAAAATATATGAACAAATTATGTTCCAGAACTGGAATATATTGTGAGTATTCTGATCTACAGTGATTCATTAAATGCAGCAACATCTGAAACAGTGACAAAGAGGGCCTCTATATCCTCAGATAATCAAAATAACTGTAGGATGGTTCATGCAGTACAGGGCACTTAATCATCAGGTGCGTTCAACGCCCTTCTTCTCTCCACCAGACTAAGAAAGAATATATGGAGACTTGTTCTATATGAGCAAAAAACATACAGAGAGCAAGCAATTTGTGTAGCCAATAATGATGAAGATCAGAAAAAGAAAAGCACAAGGAGAAACATGATGAAAACAAGAAATGTCACACCTCAAAGCAAAAGGGAGTGAAGTCAATGATGACAGGAATGGACTTCTATTGATAAAAAGAATTAGCTTATTGGTCTCATACATCATCAAATTGACCTATATTTAAAAAGAAATTTGTATCAATGTGGTGCTTAGCAGTTTTGACTAAATCCTGTTTTACCAGCCCAAGAAATGAATAGAGTTACTGCAATAATTTAAAGGTAAGTAACCGCAGCGCAATAAAGTTTTACGAAATCACAAACGTAAAGCTTTCAACATTATATAGCCTGTGAGATTCATGTAGAACTTTATGCTTCAAACAGTAAGAGTGTCCATAGATGTTATAACCTGTTCCATAGCAACACCAGAAAGACTTTTCTGGTGTTCCCCAACCATGGTAACTCCTTGACTTTGATTTTCCGCGACCCAAAGGCAGCATATAAATCATAACTCCAGGCTCTGTACCTCTTTGAATACTCAGAACTCCATTTATGAGAGAACGCTCGAAGTAACCAGCATAAACCTCTGACTTAGTCCAAAGAAATAAATTACGAGCCACCTGAAGTCAACAATTTCATCAAGTTAAATTTAAAGAATAATGACCAAATTGTCAGTGAGATCATTGTTTATAATTGGTGGAATTTTCTAGTGCATTCACATACAATGGAGAATAGAAATATACAGTCCAAAATGCAAAAGAAGAATTATGATCTTAATAATAAATTATGGGACTTTCACCCAAAAATAATAAATTATGGGACTTTCTCCATTGCTTAGATTTCACTTTGCCGGAAAAACAATCTAACATTCTATCTTGAGGATATTGCCGTAATTTTCATTTGGTGGTAAGTCTATGTTGAAATTTGCAAGCAAAGAATACTGTACTGAAGTAACCTTTCTAAAAATATCAATCTTACAGTATATTTAACAAGAAAGCATCTTTCAGATCTTACTGAAAATCGGACAATTGAGCAAGCATGTATTTCCTTCAATACTGCCAGCCAGAAACTGGGTAGTGTTTAACCTTTTAGAACCCTCAACCCCTCCAGTTCATCACAAATGAGTGGGCTTTGAGAATCCAAGTTGGTTCTTCTAAAGGGCTGTTTATATGTGAAATTTAGGTAGAGAAACATGATCTCCGCCTTATTTCATGTTTAAGCTTTTTCAACCGGAGGTAGATAAGGGGTTCCATGAGATTATGGACCACGAAAGAGAAACAAGCTCATGGTGTCCACCAGGCATGCCGGCTAAGATTCGCCTTAAAACCAACTAAAGGAAGTTTTGGAAAGTTAGAGAAAATGAGGGGTATCTGAAAGAGCTTTTTGAAAGAAGAAAGCAGAAGAAAAAAGCTAAGAAAAAATGCAATAAAATACAGAAAAAAAAAAAAAAGGAGAAATCTCGGCCTACTTGGGTGTCGGGCTTGTCAGTTGGCAGCCCGAGTCAGAGTAGTCAGTGCGACAGGACTGTTGTTGTTGTTCTTCATACTTTTGAACCAGAGACGCTAGATCAAGAGTTCTTGCAAAGTCAAGAGGCTTTCGAGGTGGGGTGGACCATGTGGTCTAGGGTTCGATCATAGTGATATGGAGTCCTAGGTTTAGGGCTTTTTGGTGATTTTAAGGGTCAAAGAACTGACTTCGAGTTCACTTGAACTTCAGGAGGTGTCTAGGGTAAGGTCAGAGTTAGGGCTTGAGTGAGGTAGAGGTCCGGCTTTTGTCCAACAGAATTTTGTTGTAGGGTTGAGAAAATCTGGTCCGAAGACACGTCCAAAAGGGATCTATTATAGGAAACTATGAGGGGAAATGGCCTTGGGAGATGGAACCTCAATCTAAACCATACATCTCGACGTGATATGCGTATAAGCCCTGTGACGCATACTGCATAAAGCTCGTCGACCCAGACAGGAGGCAGCTTCATGGTACCTATTTCCCACATTCAATAGTGGCCATTTTGGAACAATTTTAAGTTTTAAAGTCGGGGTTTTTGGGATGGGATGGTTTTAAGTTTTAAAGTGGCGCTTTTTGGGATGATGATTTCAAGGGTATAAAGAACTACTTAAAATATTTATTTTTTATTTAAATTTGTGGGTCAACTAGGGTTTAGGATTAGTCTTAAACTTTCCTAATTAGCCTAGCCCATTAGCTAAACATCCCAAATTAGGCTATGCCCCCCTTATACACTTGCCCAAATAAACCTTCCATTTCTGCCTAAACCATGGATGGATTAGGAACTCCTACCCGAGATTAAACCCTAATACACCTTTGACCAGCCCTCACCAATCCTAAACCGTAATTGACCCCCAATTACGAAAATAGAAAAATAAAAATTTCAAGTGGGTCTCTAAACCCAAAACCCTTAATTTACAACTCAAAATCGTCCCAAAATGGCCAATACTAAATGTGGGAGATAGGTTTGCCACCTGCCTGAGCCCACGAGCTCTAGCAACACAGTGTGTGTCATTAGGCCCATACGCACATTACATCGCTGGGGAGATGGATTACGGTTGAGCTGCCATCTCCTAGGGCCATTTGCCTTCATATTTCCCATAATTAGGTCCCTTTTGGACTTGTATTGGGACCATATTTTCTCAACCCTACCCCAAAATTCTGTCAAACTAAACCCGACCTTTGCCTCGCTTTAGCCCTAACTCTAACCTTACTCTAGCCTGAGCCCTTCAGACCTCTGTGAAATTCTAGCGAACCCGAAGTCACTTCTTTAGCCCCAAAAATCACCCAAAAGTCCCAAACTTATGCTTCAAATAATCATGATCGAACCGTAGACCATCGTGGTCCACGCTGCCTCAAAGGCCTCCTAGACTCTGCAAGAACTTTGGATCAAACAACTCTAGCTCAAAACTCTGAAGAACAAGGGGAATGGTCCCCTCGCACCGATTACTTTGACTCAGGCCACCAACTCCAAGTGCCAAGCCTGTGGGCCCTACATACAAGTAGGCCCACATCTCTCTTTTTTTTTACTTACAGTATTTTCTTTTAGTTTTACTTAGCTTATTCTTTTGCTCTCTTCGTTCTCAAAGCTCTTTCAAAAACCCCTCCATTTTTGGGAACTTCTTTTTTTTACATGAATCTTAGCTAACACAGTTGGTGGACAACCAAAGAGGAGACCGTGAGGTCGCTTTTCTTTTGTGGTCCATAATTTGACTCTTATCTACCTCCAATAGATGGAGTTTAAACATGGAATAAGTTGAAGATTATGTTTTTTTACAAAAAATTCACGTATAAACAAGGGAAATTATCAGAAATATACCTTAATTTTTGACAAATTAGAAAAAAAAACCCCTCAGTTTTGGCATTTAAAATACTTCGAGTTGTCACGGCATTTAAAATGTCGTATAAAATGGGGTAGTCATTATGTTACTTAAAGTACCATAATGCTAGGGCTTCACAATAATATAACTACAGTGAAGGCTATTTTGGTCAAAAAAGGATTAATGGTAGTTTTGCTTGATGTAATTTCAGGTTTGCTCATCATTTTTTATTCTCATTGTAAAATGGTAGCTCTGGACTAGAGATCCAATAGTTGCACGTGTTCCTCGAGGCCCAAGTTGCACAATTGATGGTGAGCTTGACACAAAGGTCAGATCAATTGATGGATTTGGCCATCCATCTAGCTGCAAACCATGGAGGCATGCTGCCTGAGTATGAGTAAAATAAGATCCGTGCCAACTACCCTACAATTCAAGGATATTTCCAAAATCTTCAGAAGAGAGTCCATTTCGGGTCTCATTCTGGATTACAAGATTGAATCACACTTATTGACATAATTGGTGAACAAATGCATATGAGGATCCAAATGAAGGGAGTTACGAAGATGAGGTGATCAAAGAAGTATATGATGGACCTAATCTTTTATTGTTTTAGAAGGATTTTTAAAATTCTAAATATCTAAAGATCAGCAGCAACTATTAAGGCCCTTCTTAAGGAAAACTTTCGAAACGGATTGCAACTGTTGTTTAAAAAGGATTTTGGTCGACCACATAAAGATACACAGGATATTATAATGGAGATTCAATAAGGGAGAACCTAAGCGAGCAGTGGGACTCAATGATGACAAGACCAGATTGGATTGGAGGACATTTCAGTGGTCCAACCTCCCTTGCCTAGGCTGGCCATCGAACTGATGGACCAGCCCGTGCAATCATTGGACAGGCCAGTCCACCAGTTCGACATTGTATTTACTTGTCCCATTATGGCCCAAAAAGTCTAAAAAGACCTTCATTTTTGCAAATTTTAATTCAAAATATGTCAATTTTAGAGACTTTTGACTTTAATAAATGAGATTTTGGTAGGTTTTAGGTATAAAAATATTTTTTTATTGAGAGAGAGAGAGAGAGAGAGAGATTCCACGATTTTCTCTCACTCTTTCTAACCTGGAAAAATCCTATGGTTTGGACAAACTCCAGGCAACATTTGTTAGCATATTCTGACCACTCAATCTGAAGCTCTCTACCCACCAATTAAGTCCATATATATATATATATAGGGAAAAGATGGGATTAGTCCACTAGCTCATATGAACATATGAGCTCAACGTCCTAGATTAATTCTGGGCCGATCTAACGATCACGGATGTTCGGTAGTGTTTGAATTTTCCACAAATCCAAATCACTTGAAATTTTAGGCGTGTATTCATCAAAAATAGGTGAATCTTCGAAAAATATCAAACAAATATTTTACATGAAATAAATTGACCAAATACCCCCGAAAAGTTTCAGGGGGTATTTTAGTCATTTTATTTTTTGCAGATAATTTTTTTTATTTTTTTATTAGGTGCGCCTTGATGAGAAGAACGCACACCTAAACTTTCAAGTGATTTGGATCTGTAGAAAAAAAACTACAATTCAAGCACTACCAGACATCCGTGATCTTCAGATCGGCCTAGATTCAATCTGGGCCATTGGGCTCATATGTTCATACGAGCTAGTGGGCTAATCCCATCTTTTCCCATATATGTATATATATATATATATATATATAGTTGGAAATAATTAGACAACTTTATAAACATGTTGAGTATTTTAGGGCTTTTACAAATAATTGTTGAACATGTACTTTTTCTCCATAGTTTTACCTGATATTAAAATAATTTCCTTACATAAATCACCCTTTCTTTTAAATTACCGAAATGCCCCAATTTGCTTGGCTTTTCTTTTTCACAAAGTAACAAAACCCACATCCCACAAAAGTAACATGTGGAACAAGATGCTCTATAGGAGAGGTTGGGTTGGGAGAGGGAGCCATGGTGCACTAGCGTTCCTCTCTCCACCACCCTTGTTGCCTCTCTCTCACACTAATATTCAAGAGTGCCATGGTAATAAGGGTTCATCAAAGCCTTGCAAGAGCATCCTGATTCATTTAGTGGAAATCCATATTTGCTCTCTCTCTTCTTCTCATTTTCTCTTTCACTATTTTCTCTTATTTGTAGGCATTGCGGTCAAGGATAGATCAAGGCCTTTATATTGTGCGTGAGCATCCATTTGCAAACCAAAGTTGTTGCATAACAGATTCTGTGACAATGTTCCATACTCTCTTTGGTTTCTTCCTT